TGTGAAATGATCACCATAGTAATTTTAGTTACCATCTGCAACCCAAGTTACCATTTCTTTTATGATAGGAACTTTTAAGATTTTCTTAGCATCTTGCAAGTTTGGAAATGCAATATTATTGACTGTAGTCACCATGCTGTGCATACGTCCTCATGACTTCTTTATTCTATAATTGGAATTTTGTACCCTTTGAACCTCTTCAACCCATTTTGTCTACCTTCCTCAACACCTTCCCCTCTGGCAACTGCCAATCTGTTCTGAGTTTGGCTTGGTCTGATTTTGTTTATTCATGTGTTTATTAGATTCAAAATATAAGTGAAATCATGCAGTATTTCTCTTTCTCTGTGTAACTTATTTCACTTAGCATAATACCCTTAAGGGCCATCCATGTTGCCACAAATGACAACATTTTATTTATTTATTTTTTTTATGGCTAAGAGGTAGTCCATTGTGTGTGTGACATCTTTCTCTCTCTATGTTACATGTATACACCACATCTTCTTTATCCATTAATCCATCAGTGGACACTTAGGTTGTTTCCATACCTTGGCTATTCTAATAATGCTGCAATGAACATAAGGGTGCGTGTGTCTTTTCAAATTAGTGTTTTCATATTCTTCAGATAAATACCCAGTGATGGAATTATTGAATCATATGGTAGTTCTATTTTTAATTTTTTGAAGGACCTCCACACTGTTTTCCTTTGTGCCTATACCCAGTTTACATTCCCAGCAACAGTGCACGAGGGTTCCCCTTTTCCCCACATCCTTGCCAGCACTTCTTATTCCTTTCATTTTCATCATTTTCATAATAGCCATTTGGACAGGTGTGGGTTGATCTCATTGTGGTTTTGATTTGCATCCCCTGATGATGAGTGATTCTGAGCATCCTTCATGTGCTTGTTGACCATCTGTATGTCTTCTTTAGAAATGTCTATCTGGACCCTCTGCCTATTTTTTTAATTGATTTTGTTACTGAATTTTATGGATTATTTATATATTGGGGGTATTAACTCCTTACCAGATACATAATTTGTAGGTATTTTCTCTCATTCCTTAGGCTGACTTTTATTTAGTTGATAGTTTCCTTCTCCATGCATAAGCTTTACAGTTTGATGCAGTCACATTTATTTTTGCTTTTATTGTTTTTGCCTTTTGAGTCAGATCCAAAAAAAATATATATCATAAAGACCAATGTCAAGGAGCTTACTGCCTATGTTTTCTTCAGTGATTTTATAAATTCTGGTCTTGCATCCAAGCCTTTAATCTATTTTGAGTTACTTTTTGTATATGATATAAGATAGTGGTCTAGTTTCATTCTTTTGCATGGGGCTATCCAGTTTTGCAAATAGTATTTATTGAAGGGCTTGTCCTTTCTCCATTGCTTACTTTTGGCTCCTTTGTCATAAATTAATTGACCATATTATATGTGGGTTTGTTTGTGAGCTCTATTCTATCCCATTGATCTATGAATCTGTTTTTATGTCAATACCGTACTATTTTGATTATTACAGTTTTATAATATAGTTTGAAATCAGGGTGCATGATGCCTCTAACTTTGTTTTCCTTCTCGAGATTGCTTGGTTATTCACACTTTTTGCTCCATACAATTTTAGCATTGATTGTTCAAATTCTATGAAAAATCTCACTGAAACTTTGATAGGCATTTCATTGAATCTATTGATTGCTTTGAGTAATATGGACATTTTAACAACATTAAGTCTTTCAAACCATGAGCACAAAATATTTTTCCATTTATTTGTGTCTTCTTTGGTTTCTTTCATCAATGTCTTACAATGTTTAATATACAGGTAGGTCTTTCACCTCCTGGTTGAATTTATTCCCAGATATTTTATACCTTTTGGTGCAGTTGTGAATGGGATTGTTTCCTTAATTTTTTTTTCTTACAGTTCATTGTTACTGTATAAAGTGCAACAGATTTTGTGTACTGAATTTATATCCTGCAATTTTACTGTATTTGTTTATTAGTTCCAATAGTTTTTTGGTGGAGTATTTTAAGATTTTCTCTATGTAGCATTATGTCATCTGCAAATAGTGACAGTTTTATTTCTTCCTTCTAATTTAGAAGTCTTTTATTTCTTTTTATTGCCTAATTATTCTGGCTAGAATCTCCAGTAATATGTTGAGTAAAAACAGTGAGAATGGGCACACTTGTCTTGTTCCTGATCTTAAATGAAAGGCTTTCAGCTTTTTACCATTGAGTGTGATGATAGCTATGGGTTTGTCATATACGGCTTTTATTATATTGAGGTACAGTCTATCTATACTCACCTGTTGAGAGTTTTTATCTTAAATGGATGTTGAATTTTGTCATGTGTGTTTCTGCATCTAATGAGATGATCCTATGAATTTTGTCTTTCATTAGTGTGGTGTATTACCTTGATAGATTTGTGGATGTTGAACCATTCTTGCAGCCGTGGAAGAAATCTCGCTTGATCATGATGCATGATCCTTTTGACATACTTTTGACTTCAATTACCTAACATTTTGTTGAGGATTTTGCATCTATATTCTTTAGAGATATTGGCCTGTAATTTTCTTTCTTGTGTGTCCTTTTCTAGGTTTGGTATCAGGGTGATGCTGGCCTCATAAAATGAGTTTGGGAGCATTCCCATCTCTTCAATTTGTGGACAAGTTTGAGAATGAGAAGTACTAAATCTTTGAATATTTTGGTAGAATTCACTGGTGAAGCTCTCTGGTCCTGGACTTTTGTTTGTTGGGGGTGTTTGATGACTCGACTCAATCTCATTAGTAATTTTTATTTTCAGATTTTCTATTTCTTCATTATTCTGTCCTAGAAGATTGTATTTTTCTAGGAATTTATCTATTTCTTCTAGTTTGTCCAATTTGTATAATTTTTCATAGTAGTCTTTTATGATTTTTTCTTTGTATTATTATTTGTTACTATAATTATTTGTATTTCTTTGGTGTCAGGTGTAACTTATCTGATAACATTCTGATTTTATTTATTTAAAGCCTCTCTCTTTTTTCCTTAGTAAGTCTAGCTAAAGGTTTTTCAGTTTTATTTATCTTTTCAAAGAACCAGATCTTAGTTTCATTGATCTTATCTATTGTCTTTTTAGTCTCTATTTCATTTATTTCCACTCTGATCTTTATTTTCCTCCTTCTACTAACTTTGGAATTAATTGTTCTTTTGCTGGTTCCTTTAGGTGCAAGGTTAGTTTGTTTGAGATTTTTCTTGTTTCTTGAAGTGGTAGCCTGCCAACAACTATCTCTCCAATTGTTTCAGATTTCTAGAGCTTGGAGATGCTATCCTCTCTGGTCAACAGAGGTAGGCACTCAAGGGGCAACTCCTGTGTTGGCTCTACTTGCCTGCTGGCTTTGGCAGGGCTGTGAGTACAGCGCATTCAGCTTCCCAGCTCTGGCAGGGATGCAGGGGCAGTATAGGAGTGGGCACACCCACTAGTGTTAGCAAGGTAAATGAAGAATGCAAAAATGGCACCAACTAGCACTTCTATCCATGGACAGTTCCTAAAGGGCTCTGCCCCTCTGTGAGACACTTTTAAGATTAACAAATGACTCTCCTTCATGTACGATCTAGGCAATTTTCAAACCGCCGATTTTGTGCTGAGTTGCAGGGTGGATGAGTTTGTACATGAGCTCTTAAAGAGTAAAATCTCCGGGGCGCCTGGGTGGCTCAGTCACTTAAGCATCTGCCTTTGGCTCAATGACCCGGGATCCTGAGATTGAGCCCCATGTCGGGCTCCTTGCCCAGCGGGGAGCTTGCTTCTCCCTCTTCCTCTACTTGCCACTCCTCCTGCTTATGCTCTCTCTCTGTCAAATAAATAAATAAAATCTTTTTTTTTTTTTAAAGAGTAAAATCTCCATTCCCTGCAAATTCATGGGTCCCCTGAACCTAAGCCTCATTGGTTTTCAAAGTCAGACGTTTTGGGAACTCCTCTCACTGGTGCAGATCCCAGGAGTTGAGGTGCCTGATATGGGGTACAAATGCCTCATCCTCAGGGAGAAACTCCATATTTTGAGATACCTCCCAATTGTGGGTCACCATACCACATCTGGGGGTTTGGGTGAAACCACATTACTATCTCTTACCTGTCTGGATGTGATTCTTTAATCCTTTGTTATGAAGGAAACTGTTCAGCTAGCTCTTGGGTTTATTTTTTGGAAGAAATTATGTCATGTGTAGCTGTAGACATGTTGCATCTGTGGGAGGAGGTGAGTTCAGTTCTGCCATCTTGAACCCCAAATCTCAACCATTTCTTAACAATGCTCTAAAACAGAAACCCACAATTTTATACCTAGCAAAGCAACAGATTCTGTTCAGAATTTCATTTCTGTTGAGTCTCCCTGTGTTTCTTCAAGAGCTCAGTTGTCTCCAAAAAGCTAAGCAGGAGGTTCTTAACTTCTAGGTCCATGTTAGTTAGGAGCTGATTTAGTCTCATCCATGTCACATAACTTGGCACTGTCCTTCTTTCTCTGAAACATAGCACAACAAAAAGTTTTTTCTAGGTTGATTTCTCTCTTTTGATAGGAGGGGAAGGCAGGTATATGCTGGTGCCAACCAATGGGCACCAGGGAATGCAATTCAAGTCACGTATGTCTTGCCCCAGGGAAAAGGCAGTAACTTGACTATTTATGCACTCCAGAAGAACTGGAAGTGCATTTTATAACCAAATAAAGGTGAGCACAAGCATTCATACACACTAAAAGGAGGACAAAAAAATGGACTATACACTGTTACCTGTTTTGAAGGAAACGTGAAAGAAACTTCATGAAGGAGGATGTTTTTGTTTTGTTTTGTTTTCTCATGTATACTAAATTTTGGCTCTTAGAATCCCTAAGAAATAACTATTCACTGCCCAACTCAAAGGTGAAGAGGTCTTCAAGTTTCTTCTTGCTTTCTCAGTGACACAGCTCCATTCAGCAAATGTGGTTATGATCTAAATGATGGATTTCCCAGTCTCATTTCACCTTGCATTTTTCCTTTGTTCTTGCCAGGAAGCAGAATGTGCCTACACACTCTTTGTCATTGCCATATTTTGGCTTACAGAAGCTTTGCCTCTGTCAATAACAGCTTTACTCCCTGGTTTAATGTTTCCACTTTTTGGGATCATGACTTCTAAGAAGGTAAGTCCTCTTGCAAATGTTTGTCATAATTAGGTTCCTAATTTTGTACTGATACTGCCATTGAGAAAAGCTGTATTGAAAGGGAACAAGAGGGGCACCTGGGTGGTCAGGTAGTTGAGGGACCAACTCTTTGATTTCAGCTCAGGTCATGATCTTGGGGTCATGAGATCAAGCCCTGTGTGAGGCTCTACCCTCAGTCGGGAGTCAGCTCCAGAGTCTCTCCCTCTGCCCCTCTTTCTGCTCTCTCTCTCTCTCTCTCTCTCTCAAAATAAATAAATCTTTTTTTTTTTTTAAGGGAAAAATAATCCTGTTGAGAAATGCATGTCCTGCCTTCCCAGGCTGATATCTATGCCTGGTGACTCCCTCCCAACAAAAGGACCAACCTTTCACATCCTGCATTAACTTTTTCTTTTCAGTAGAATTTGGTCTCACACAGTGTTAGAAAAGCAATTTTTGTTTTTAATGAAGAAAAAACTACCCTGTTTTCTTTTCCAGAAACCTGCCCTTTCAAAAGATAAAGCCAAATTAACTTTCATGTGTATTTCTGTTTTCTTCTTGCTGAGAGGAGTTTATTCATGCTGAGTGGTGGTTTTTACCTTTATACAATCTGAGGGTACCCGTCTGAGGAAAATGGATTCAGTTTCTCATTAAAAGCATGAAATGCATTGAAATCAGAATATCTATCTTCATGCAGTCTCCAGCCACCCAGCACACAACTGCCTAAACTGCAGCTGAAGAAGTCTCAGGAAAGATGCCAAGTTCAAGATGCCAGTCCCTGCAATTTATCACTTTTGGACTTCTATCTTCTGCCAGAGTTCAACACTGCTATCTTGAGGTTCATCTGTCTTGTAATGTGGGTGGAGATTTTTCCAACTAACTAACCCATGATACCGGGGTTTTTTGTTCTGTGGGAGAAAGTATTCTTTTCCTTCTCTTCATGTCATTCTTCCTCATTTTGTAGTTCAGACTATCTTTTTGCATTTCAGATCCATTTTGCTCCTCTTTTCTTTCTGCATTTTTCCTTCCCTTGTAATCTTGACTCTTTTCTTTCCCACTGATTGGGAAGAGAGAGTAGCCAGGGCTGACACTCTGCTGTCCCAGTATCTGGGCTCTATAACTGAAGAAGTTTTTCAAATGCTCCAATAGGCTACATGGATCTTAGTAAAGGAATTTTCATTTTATTTTTTTAAAAGATTTTATTTATTTATTTGATAGGCAGAGATCACAGGTAGGCAGAGAGAGAGGAAGGGAAGCAGGCTCCCTGCTGAGCAGAGAGCCTGATGCGGGGCTCCATCCCAGGATCCTGGGATCATGACCTGAGCTGAAGGCAGAGGCTTTAACCCACTGAGCCACCCAGGCGCCCCAGTAAAGGAAATTTTAAAAGAAAGGATTGGAAGATGTGGTCCATATACACTATGGAGTATTATGCCTCCATCAGAAAGGATGAATACCCAACTTTTGTAGCAACATGGTGGGACTGGAAGAGATTATGCTGAGTGAAATAAGTCAAGCAGAGAGAGTCAATTATCACATGGTTTCACTTATTTGTGGAGCATAACAAATAGCATGGAGGACAAGGGGAGTTAGAGAGGAGAAGGGAGTTGAGGGAAATTGGAAGAGGAGGTGAACCATGAGAGACTATGGACTCTGAAAAACAACCTGAGGGTTTTGAAGGGGCGGGGGGTGGGAGGTTGGGGGAACCAGATGGTGGGTATTGGAGAGGGCACAGATTGCATGGAGCACTGGGTGTGGTGCAAAAACAATGAATACTGTTACGCTGAAAATAAATTTAAAAAATTAAAAAAAAAAAAAGAAAGGATTGGCAAGTTCTCAAAAATAATGTGTCAAGTTATTAACCCCTGTTCTGCTGGCTTAGGTGGTTTTACCTCCAAAGATAATTCAGTTCAACGGTGACATATTTGTCTCTTATGATTTAATAACAATAAAATTGACTTTTTAATAGAGGCTGAGATAGAAGCAAGATTAACTAGAATTGGGGTGTTTCTGTAGCAAACAGGCTAGAGGAAGACAGGAGAAAAAGGGTACCTAGGAAAGCCTGGCTTTGTGAGAACTGCCAAACCTTTGCCTCTTTACAGGATGTGGACCCCCAACTAGAGGCAGCAAAATTCTAAGTACCTTCAGCAGTTGCATGACTCAAACTGCTGGTACCTGTCCAAGAGTCCTTCATCCCCCAGAAGTGTCGGCCTCAGACTAAATTAACAGTAATAGAATCTTAGACTTAGAAGCACATTCTTCTGGTCATTTTGTCCTGGGGCAGATTCTTCCTCCCAATATTTCTTATAGATGAGATCACTCAGGAAATGATTAAAGACTTCCTGTGTATGGGCCCAGAAAGCCACACAAGGAAATAAGAATCATTTTTGAGAACTTTTAATACGTAAGTTTAATACTTTTACTGAGCACCTTGTTGTATTAAAGAATATCAACAAATATTGAATATCTCTCATATCCATTGAATAAAATCTGAAATGTTAAATATTTAGTGTGCTCAATTAGATATTCCAAAACAAATATCATTATTATTATTGTCATTAAAAATATGTTTATATGTAAATTTTACACATATAAATGTGGAGGTACACATATGTATATGCAGATGTTATAGTACATATTTATGCAGTCATTCCATAAATATTTATGTTCTAGGACTCTGCTAGGCTCTTGGGAATATATCAGTGAATAAATACAGACAAAAGTCCTTGTCTTCTTAGGACAAAAGAGACAATAAACAACCTTAATGTCTAGGTAAGTTACAGTGAGTTAGGAGGTAATTGGTGTTATGCAAAAATGCAGCAGGATAATGAAGATCAGGAGAGAGTTGCAGTTTAAACAGGATGATCAGAGTAGATCTCAATGAGCTGTCAATACCTGAACAAAGACTTATAGGAAATGGGGGAATTAGTCCTGTGGCTATCTGGAGAGCAACCATTGCTGAGGGGCAAATACCCACCACAAAGACTTCAAGGGAGTTATATGTCTGCAGTGTGACTAAAGCAAAGTGAAGGGGAGAATGACAGAAGGTGATGTCAGGGAGATAATTTGTAGAGGGACTAGACCATCTAGGGCCAAAGTAGGCCACTGTAAAGTTTTAACTGTCAATGAAATGAGACCCTCTAGAGATTTTTGAATAGAAAAGTGACATGATCAATTTGATTTTTATTTAAAAGGATAATTTGGACTGCTGTGCTGAGAAACAAAGCAGAAAGAAGGAAATGGGTAGCAGGTTATTGCTATAACCCAGTGGAGAGGCCATTGCAATTCAGACCAGGGATAGTAATGGGGATATGGAATATATTGTTAACGTATTTTTAAGATAAAATCAATAAAATTTCCTATATGATTTTATATGGCATATGATGGGGGGTAAGTGGGAGGATTCAAGGATGCCTCAGAACTTTTTGACCTGGCAGCTGGAAAAATGGAGTTGCCATCAGTTGAGATGGGGAACACTATGGGCAGAGTAGGCTTGTTGCAAAGGAGAGGCTGACACTGGGAGTACAAAGTTTGACGCTACATTTGAAATAACTATTTGATATCTAAGTGAAGGTGTTGACTAGGCAGTTAAATACAAATGAGTCCAGATCTCACGAGATAGAGCTGAGCTGGAAATACCAGTTTGAGGATCATCAGCGTATGGGTGGCATTGAAAGCTCTAAAATGTGATGAGGTGATTTAGAGAGTGAGTGAAGATTTAGAACAACAACAACACTACAAAGAAGACAAAGAAATGTGCTCTGGAAAACGATGACATTCAGAGATTGGTGAGAAGAGAAAGTACTAGCGAAGAAGAATGAGAAGGATAGGTTATTGAGATAGGAGGAAGGCCAGGAGAGTGTGGGATCCTGGAATCCAAGTTTAGTAATGTTTTAAGGATGAAGCAATGATTAAATGTGTCTAATCTACTAATAGGTCAATTAGTGTGAAAACTGGGAATTAACCATTGGAATTAGCAATGAAACATAAATATTTTTAAAACAATAAGATATATATGATATAATTCTAATCATATGCATTATAACTGACTTTTCTAAAAAATCTCATTTGATTCACAAGCTTGATGTGAAGTATTATTGAATTTTAATGGATAAGTGTATTGACTTAAAGAAAGGTTGTGAACTGGTACATTTTATAGCTAAGAGAGAACCCAGGTGCTCTGATTGCAAAAGTGCATTTTTTTTTTAAAGATTTAATTTATTTATTTGACAGAGAGATAGAGAACACAACCAGGAGGAGTGGAGGAGGGAGAAGCAGGCTCTCCACCAAGCATGGAGCCTGATGCGGGGCTTGATCCTAGGACCCTGGGATCATGACCTGAGCCAAAGGCAGATGCTTAACAACTGAGCCACCCAGGCACCCCAAAAGTTCATGTTTTTTGATGAAATTCCATTTTGAAACAGAAATATGACTTCAAATTTCATTAGGAATTTTGTTTGACATGCTTATTTTGCCTCAAAAATAGTTATAATTATCAGTGTTATTTATAAACCAGTACCATTTCCTCTTATTATCTCCTATATACATAAGCTATAAACAAACACATATGGTTGTGACTAATGTGCTACAAATATACTAACTCTGATGAAACCCAAAGAATAGGCACTACAATGGGAAACAAAGAATGTGAAAATTCCTCCTTAGGTTTATAATTCATTTCATTTAGAGAGTTGGGCTGCAGGCCATTTTTTGTTTACATAGTCCATTAAGAGACTGGCAAACTATGAATCTGAGAGCCAAATCTAGCCGGCTACCCAATTTTTAAAATAAAGTTTAATTGGAAATATACAAAGCCATGGTCATTCATTTACATACTGTCTTTGGCTACTTTTTATGCTACAAAGACAAGTTGAATAGTTGCAATGGAAACAGTAAGGCTCACAAAGTCTAAAACATTTATTATCTGACCTTTTTACAAAATCTGCCAACTGCAAACATAATCTGAAGAGATTACAACAAGAATGTCTCATGGTCCTGGACTTCCTTCTGTGTTTAATCACTTACTAATCATTGCTTGCTTCTATGCATTCCTTTGCATTTTTTTAAAAGAGTTTATTTATTTATTTGGGAGAGAGAGAGAGAGAGACTATGAGAGGAGAGAGGTCAGTGGGAGAAGCAGATTCCCTGCAGAGCAGGGAGCCTGATGTGGGACTCGATCCTGGACTTCAGGATCATGACCTGAGCTGAAGGCAGTCACTTAACCAACTGAGCCACCCAGGTGCCCCTGAAAAAATATTTCTCACACACCCGTGATACCTTACTGCAGTCTTTATTAACTTGGTTTTTTTTTTGCATGTAATAACCTGTAAGCCCCTTGAGTCTAGGGACTTACTAATTCAGTATCTAACGCATGCCAGTATGTGCCAGGAATGTGCTAAATCCATAAATACAATGATCAGTAAGACACACCTCTGCCTTCAAAATATGTCTTATCCAATAAAGGGGATAATTAAGTAAATAAATGATCACTATATAGATGAAGATGTGCTCTCACAAAAGGAAATAGCATCTGACTAAGTTGAGGATAGTCAGGGAAGGCATCTTAGAAGAACTGACATCTGAGTTCATCCATGAAAGAAGATGATGGATAACCAAAGTAAGAGAAGAGGATCATTCCAGGTTAAATGACAGGCAAGTGTTGAAGCATTTCTGTGACTTGAGAATTTCACACATTGGGAAAAGTTTGCAGAGCACTAAAAGGCTTAACTGGAAGGTGAGATGAAGAGTCTTATAAGAGATGTTGGGAAGATTGGATTTAGTCTCAAATGACATGGAGTCCAGTGAAGGAGTACAGGAAGCACAAGGATGTGATCAGATTTACACTTTAGAAAAGTAACCGCGACAGTGGTAAGGGGTGGATTAGAAAGAGATCAAACAGTAACCATGTGAGAAGCAGTTAGGAGCTTAATTAAGATAGTAATGTTTGAATAGAACAAAGTGGACAATTTAAAATATATAGCGAAACAGGACATCTGGGTGGTTCAATGGGTTAAGCACATGACTTGGGCTCAGGTCATGATCCTGGAGTCCTGGGATCAAGTCCCCCATCAGGATCCTTGCTCAGCGGGTAGCCTCCTGCTTCTCCCTCTGCCTGCAGCTCCCTCTGCCACCTCCTTGTCTTCTCTCTCTCTCTGACAAATGAAGAAATAAAATCTTTAAAAATAAAATAAAATAAAATAAAATATATGGGGGAACTAGAGAAAATAGGACTTTGTGACTAATCCACACATACTGGAAGTGAGAAAGGAAGCAGAGCTGACTCTTAGCTTTCTAACTTGGGCAACTAAGTAGATGGAAATTTCATTTGCCATAAAAAAAGGATATGCTGGGGCACCTGGGTGGCTCAGTGGGTTAAGCCTCTGCCTTCGGCTCAGGTCATGATCTCAGGGTCCTGGGATCGAGCCCCGCATCGGGTTCTCTGCTCGGCAGTGAGCCCGCTTCCCCCTCTCTCTGCCTGCCTCTCTGTCTACTTGTGCGCTCTCTCTCTCTCTGTCAAATAAATAAAAAAAAAAAAAAAAAAAAAAAAAAAGGATATGCTGAATGTTTAGATGTTTGTGGGAAATTCAAATGGAAATTTCCAGCTGGATACACCAGACTTACCTGTTTGGATACAAAGATTTTAGTGTCTTCAGCATTCATTCAGCAAATACATATTGAATGCCCACTGTGTGCCAAACATTATTTTAGTCACATAGAGTTAGAAATTGAATCTGTAAGATTCAATCTTCAGGTGCACAAAACAAGAAGATTGGAGACAAAACCCTGTAGAATACCAATATTTCAGAAAAGGGCAGAGGAAAAATAATTTTCAATGTAGGCCAAGAAGAAAAATTCAGAGAGACAGAGATAGACCTAGGGAGAAAAAAAAAGTGGTTCATAAGTCTGTAAATGCTAATAAATTAGTAATTTGAAATAATACTTACACTGAAAGTAGTGATTGAGAGTGTTAGGAAGAAGAAGTTTGGGAACAGAGTGTAGACAATTCATATTTGTGATCTCTCTACTGATTTAGGAGCTCAAAGACCATAGCTTATTCATTGACTCCCTTCCTCCCTCTCTCATTCATCCAGAATTATTTACTGAGCTCCTCTTCTGTACCAGGACTGTACTAGGTGCCAAATATGCAATGACTAGCAAAACAGATTCCTGGCCCTCTTAGAATGTATAGTATATTACAAAAGACATGCAACAAGCAGATAATCGCACTATTTACATATTATAACATTCTACGAAGGAAGCCAAGAGGGCTCTATAATACAGAAAAATAGTAGAAACTATTTTAAAAATCTGGATATTTGAGAATTGAAGAGGTGTGAAGAGGGAAACACATGTCAGGTGTTTATCATCGCATTCTCTGTTCATATAACAGTTTCAGTGCATGTTTAATACTTACCCAGTGTTAAGAGTAATTAATAAGGGAAATAATAAGGAAATTGATAGAATTATTTTCTATTATGCACTACCATAAAATGTAAAGAAGTAAATGCAAACTGTGAAAAACAAAATAAATTAACTTTTCTAAAACACAATGAAGAGATCCACTTGTCCACTTTTAATTCCAAAGCTAATTTTTACTTTCTTTTTAAACCAAGCCAAGTTTAGTAAGCTATATTAAAAATGCTAATACAATTTAAAATAACAAAATTATTATGAGAACTGATTTTTCTTTTTTTTTCCCTAAGATTTTATTTATTTATTTAACAGAGAAAGAGATCACACATAGGCAGAGAAGCAGGCAGAGAAAGAGGGGGAAGCAGGCTCCCTGCTGAGCAGAGAGCCCATTGCCCGAGGCGCAATCCCAAGACCCTGAGATCATGACCTAGGCGGAAGGCAGAGCCTTAACCCACTGAGCCACCCAGGCGCCCCAGAGAACTGATTTTTCTACTCCTTTGTGATTTCATATTGGAATAGTTATTTCTCAACTCTTCCATTCCTTCAACCAGATTTTTTTTTTTAAGGGATATTTCCTCTTATAATCCACTCTTTTCAGCACAGCCTCGTGATTCAGTTTAACCAAGGAGGTTCTGAAGTCAGGTCTCTTAAATATCAGTCTCCTAAAGTACTATACCTAAGCAATTAAAAATAAGGTTTCTGTGGTTAGATAATTTTGAAAAATGTTGTATGTGAAATTCTACTCTGTGAGTGGCAATGCCTGTTCGTATTTAAAGGTTTTGAGGAGAACTAGAGGAAAGAAAATTCTAGTGTTTCAAAACTTTATGCTTTGTAAACTTACTTGACCACAAAATGTTGTTGTTGTTGTTGTTGTTGTTGTTGTTTAAGAAAAAGATTATGTACCTAACATACTTCAGAGCATTCTTTGGTAAATAGATTGATCCAAAGTGTCTGTACACTCTACTAATCTCTGAATGGTGTTAGCTAAAAATGGCTTAAAACATTGGCTCCTATTCAAGGGTATTTATTTTATAGGAAATAATTTTGAAGGTAAAGCCATTTGAAGTATTTAGGAGTGACACTACAGTTTGGGCATAATAGATGGTAACAAAGACACTAGCGGTTTGGAGACTCAACTTGGACTTTCCCAAATCACAGCCACTACTGTTCTACCGCAACAGCATATACCAGTTAACCCTCATTTGGAGATGGAAAAATTAAGGCATTGAAGGCACTTGCCTGACGTTACACAGCTATTTCAAAACCCAGTATGTTGGGTACTATTTTTTGGTATGTATTTTCCCTTAACATTCCTATTTCTGGGTAAACACATAGAACAAAGTTAAATTTGTATTGTTCACATATCTACATTTTTCTTAATAGAAAGATTAAGTAGTATAAAGGTCAAAGTTAAGAGTAGCAAAATAATGCTTTCTGGGGCAATATTATTTTCCCCCCACCAACATAAGTAATCATGGGTTTAATCATAAATTTCAGGTGGCATCTGCTTATTTCAAAGATTTTCATCTACTGTTAATTGGAGTCATCTGTTTAGCAACATCAATAGAAAAATGGAATTTGCACAAAAGGATTGCCCTGAGAATGGTGATGACGGTGGGTGTGAACCCAGCATGGTAAGTACTCCATTTACTCTTCCAGGTTTACTTTCCAAACAGTTCATATTTTTGCAGAGCAAATATCTAAATAAGTAAAGCACATCCAGGCAAGCATTCACATCACAGTAAAATTCATGCCTTTCTTTCCTTTGCAAATATGAAAAGGCTATAAAGTGCACTGGAGTTGTAGGAAGAAACAACAACTTTCGGGTCTAATTACAGGTAGATTGGAATAAGTGCACACACCTTTCATGCACAGTAGGAGCCAAAGCTGAGAGAAGTCTTGAACCCCAACAGACAAGGTGGTAGACTTCAGAGTAGATATCAGTTGTATCTGGTTTATTTGGCTGATTACACATTCAAGACTTGTTCAAGAGCATTATTCATCATGCGGAGGATGTTAAGAATCAAAGACAAAGACATTACTGACAAAATACAAACGTGTGCAGAAATATTCCAAGGTGAACATTTTTCTTTTTAAATGTACTGTTGCAAACGGAAGCAATCAGTTAAGAGATTTCATCTACAGAATGTGAAATCACTCAGTTGACTAACTTTCCCCACTGAAATAAATGCTTTTTTCCATTACATTAATTGGTTACTTTAGTTTTAGATCGAACTCTTGTTAAGAACATAGATGTGAGCTAAAATATATATATATATATGTATATATATATATATTTCCAGTGTCATAAACACTTACATGATGGTGTTAAGCTCTAAAGTATTAAGTGGTTCTTCCCTTCTCATTTTCTTTGAAAATAAGAAAATTTTACCGAATTATGTTGCATGATTCATTCTAGAGTATATCTACGTCTGTGTTGATCATTTATGAATCAAATAGTTTCATTAAATATAAAGAATAACTCAGATGAGACAAATTTTTAAAATATTTGCTACTTTAAATGTTTATAACATGAATGTGTTAAGGAAATTCTGCTCTTGAAATGAAATGGTATTCCATGCCTCTTGGGGTGCTATAGATATGTGTATCTTTTCCTTGACCATCTGCTCCTGACCACAGGGGATGGGATAGTAAACCACACAGTGAAGCAAGAGTCCTGTCCTTTATACCACTGAGTGGCTTTGCAACTCAAGGCATTATCACCACACAGAAAGTGTGCTCACTATCTTTTTTTTTATAGGAAGATTTCATGTCTTGCCAATGCCTTAAATCAAAAGTATTTCTAGTTTACTTTTTAAAAAACTTCTTTTATTTATTTTTCTCTTTTCTAGATTTTTTAAAATTTAATTTAATTTTTTAGTGTTCCAAGATTCATTGTTTATGCACCACACCCAGTGCTCCATGCAATACATGCCCTCCTTAATGCCCACCACCAGGCTCACCCATCCGCCCACCCCCCGGCCCTCTAAAACCCTCAGTTTGTTTCTCAGAGTCCACAGTCTCTTATGCTTCGTCTTCCCCTCTGATTTCCCCCCAATTCACTTTTCCTTTCCTTCTCCTCATGTTCACTTTTTCTTGACAATCATTTCCTTTTTAAACAGATATCTAAAGAGTTTTATTTTGTTTTACACATAGAAATTATTCACCCTATCTGAACTTGAAATTTTTAGTGTAGAATTTGTCTTGTAGATCCACGTTTTTTCTTTTCTTTTCTCTTCTTTCTTTTCTTTTTTTCTTTTTTTCTTTTTTTTTTTTTTTGTAGATCCACTTTTAAAGGGAGTCATAGAATTTCATAAATGGCTGCATATGGAAAGATGTGCTTCTGAATGATTTTCTGGGATCTCCTACTCAAAAGAGATCAAATTTTTTTCCCAAGTATGATTTTTGAAAGCTTCTAGATATGGTTTAAAATCCTACAGTCTTAGGTATTATTTTTAAGGGAGAAGTACTTTATTTATAAGAGAAGACAATGTAATATATCTAGTCCTTGACCACAGGCAGGAATGTCAAATTCAGGAAAGCATATATAATAGAACCTACAGAAAATTTTTTGAAACCTCATTTTTGCTAGTCATTTTAACCATTGCCTCCACCTACCTTATATTGAACCAGAGGAGTTAACAGTAAAAAGTAGATTTATAAATAATTTCTCTCCTTGCCCTCGTGCCTCCTTGACCCACATACTAATAAACAGATGTGACCAAAAGATGAAAGAAAGAATAAGGGACCCTAAATTGAAAAACTGATTGCATTACATTTTACTAGTATTTCAAGGGACGTGTCATCTGTAAAGGGCATTCAAATATTGGTATAATACTGCAAGCTATTCTACCATCTACTGACTTGCAGTTTGGTAATACACGTCATCATTTTTCTGTTTTAAGAGAAGATAGTTTACGGTTCCAGGGAAACAAATCTGATAAGAACACCACTCTTCCACGTGCTGCTCTGATTCCTATCTGGCTCTGACTGTCCTCAGGGTTCACCCTCGGAGAGGAACCCTAACTTAAGTGTGTTTTGAAAAAATTCCCAACTTACAAACAGCATTCTTTACAGTTAAATAATACAGAGCAGTTAAGCTGGAGAGCACAGCTCGTATTAAAGGCCCTCTCATTTCAGGCTGACATTGGGGTTCATGAGCAGTACCGCCTTTTTATCCATGTGGCTTAGCAACACCTCCACGGCTGCCATGGTGATGCCCATCGTTGAGGCTGTGGCACAGCAGATCATCAGCGCCGAAGCCGAGGTCGAGGCCACTCAGATGACTCGTATCAGTGGATCAGTCAACCGTGGACTGGAAATTGATGGTATCACATGTTGAGATGCTGCAGTGGGGTCTAATCATTTGGGCAGTAGGCAGAAACTCAAGAATTCTGGCTTATATTTTATTAACTGCCCATATGTGCATGACATGAATTTAACTCTCTCTTTTCTGTATTTCCCAATATTATACATCACCCAAATATTTAACCTTCAATTAATGGTCGAATCTACATTCTCTGGACAAAAAGGAAGAATGCCCTTTCTAGCCTCTAGTCAGTCTGATGGAACTCTCTCTCTCTGTCCCTCCCAGTAAACCCAAGGTTACTCTTCCATACTGAACTAACATAATAATAGTGAAAATGAGCATAATAGTGGGAATCTTTAATTCCTACATTCTGTTTGGAAAGAGCATTACATTTGGATGTGGTTATTTCTAGCTCTGATAACTTGCCTTGATGGAGTGGAAATGTTGGGGGGATATTTGAATTTATAACGTACTTTATTAAGATGAATGTTATGTCAGTTCAGGTGAATTTGTTTTCCGTTTCTAGTAATGTTTTCATCTTACACACACACACACACACAGATAACCCTTTAAATTATTTTTCTTTTATTTAATGTTTCGCAGAAGTTGTTGAGACAAATGAGAAGAAAGAGAAACCAATACCAGTTCCAGGGTAAAGAATATTGACTTTTTGATTAGGATTTTCTAAATTACATTTTAATACAATTATAAACTGGGTCAATTTATTTTTCAGATACAGTAATGATGCAGGAAAAATTTCAAGCAAGACAGAGCTGGAAAAGGTACATTAAATGTGATTCTTTCTAAATAATTATATGTGAAATTATATTAGATCTTCAGTTAGAGATGTAGGCATTTTATTTTTTATATTTTTATTTTTAGAGAGGGAGTGGGGAGGGGCAGAGGGGAAAGGGGAGAGACAATCCAAAGCAGGACCCAAGCTCAGTGCAGAGCCTTTCAAGGGGCTCAATCTCATGACCCTCAGATCATGACCTGAGCTGAAATCAAGAGCGTGATGCTTAACCCACTGAGCCACCCAGGTGCCCTGAGAGGTATGCATTTTAAAATCTGTTACTTCCTTCCTTGTCTATAAATTACTTTGCTTGCCTAAGTCAAAGCACAGTGTAATGGTTTAATAAACCCTCATAGATAGACATAGGCTAAAATCAACATGCTGATAGAAAACTTTTTAGGCTTTGAAAATAAGCATTGTTTTTCTTCTTTTACTTAGTTCATGATGATGGGAGTTAGCATATGTAGTTCATGGTAATGGGAGTTAGCATATGCAGTTTAAAGAACTATAATTCCAGTCTCAGAACATTGTTTCATTTTCTTATTAAAATCTTATCAGCTCAATAGCCTGATTTTCATTAGGACTATTCTCATTCCTTTCAGGTTATAAACTTAGAGCAACTCTTATTCATGTAATTACAAACCAGTTATCTTTAGTGTCCCCACTAAAAAAATTCAGTGCAGAATTTATGAATCACTACTGTCAAATACAGATGGAGGAGTTGTAGTCATTCTAGCTATTAAAGGAAAGAAGGAGACTTTTGTAAACCATCCCATAGAATTCATTTCCCCAGAATAAATCAATATAAAAATTCTATACTATATTGTATTGGGAGTAATAGATCTTGAGATCACTGAAAAATAATCCTGCATAGAAATAGTTTTCCGGTAACCATGGCATTAGGAATAGGAGAGTGGGGCATATTTTCCTTCCTCAGGCTATAATGCATTTACATGCAACTCAGTAGGAGAAAGAAAACCCTCTTGTTATTTACAGAAATCTTCAAGGAAAGAGTGACTTCTCTGTAAAGAGAAGACAAATAACAAGGATAAGTTTTAAGCTCTTAGCTACAGGGTTTTAACAATGAGAATTGAATATATTTTTCTGAAAACACTATCTTTAGGAATAGAAGTAATTCTTTTAAAACAGAATCAACAGCATTTAAGGTATATTACAGAAGAACACATTAAAAATGAGCTTTAAAAATTCTGAAAATTGGCAAACGTAAACAGAAAGAATATACTTGCACTCAGTAACTTTCTCATGGTCATATTTAGAAATCCAGTTTTCTGGCATGATGCCTACATTTTGGGTCAAGCCCCTTCAAATCAATCTGACATCCAACACTATCCTCAGCATTATAGGAAGATCCACTGATGAAAAGACCTGCTCCTTCCTGTAGGCAGCTAGAGTCTGGTGGGGAAGATGGGCTTCGAAAATGTGTGACATAAATCCTATAACGAAAGCAGGCACAGAGGCTCAGTCTTCCAAAGGTGGAGCAGGTAGCTCAATCAGGGCATGTTGCAGGAGAGGGTATGAGTGAAAGAGATTTGAGTTTGGGAGGAGAAAGCACGCTCACTCAGCAGAGAGTCAACTCCATGCATGCAGGAACCAGGTCTACTTTGTTCACAATCTAATCCCCTGGCACACTTCATGGCCTAACACAGAGTAGGTATTCAATAGATGTCTATCTTGATTAATTAATTAATGAGTGAAAAGATAAGAGGTAGTCTAATTAGAAAAAGCAATGTGTTCAAAGACCCAGATAGGCAGAGAGCAGGGCTTTTTCAGAAAACGTCTCCACTGCAGGTGCTAGGGATGAATTGTGCTATGTGAAATGTCTAGATAGCCTGAGTCGTGTTAAAAATAGTTGGTCATGTCACGCCAAAGAGTTTAGAATTTATCTTAGAGAAAGTAGGAATCTTTGAAACTGGAGAGCAGCATGGTAAATTCTTCCCATTGAGAAACTTACTATGGCAACACTTTGAAGGGCAGAGATTGTAGGTCTAATTGGACTTCTTGATTAATCAGACTTTGAAGACGAGAGAGAGAAAAGTATAGAAGATGCCTCCGCTAGACTAAAGTAGGTAAAGATAGGCTGTGATGCCACTGATGGAGATGCGGAACACAGAATGAGGATAAATTTTCAGTGGGGGAAAAGTAAGATAAATCTGGGTACATTTTAGGCAATAAAGATTGAGTTCCGAGTTTGGGAGAAAAGAACAAGCAAGGCCTTTGAACAATGATTCTGTGGTCTTTCTAGAACTCAGTGTATAAAATTCAGCTTTGCGTAAAAGAAAAATTAAAGGATAACTATTTACATTACAAACGTGTTCTTTATTAGAGAGAAGATGAAAGTCTTGCTTCTTTTGGTGTCACATTAAAAAGTGTTGTCAAGACCAATGTTAAGGAGTATTTGCCTGTGTTTTCTTCTTGGAGCTTTACAGTTTGGGGCCTTATGTTTAGGTCTTTCATCCATCTTGAGTCAATTTTTGTGAGCAGTGTAAGATAGAAGTCCAATTTTATTCTTCTGCATGTGGTTATCAAGTTTTCCCAGCACCAGTTATTGAAGAGGCAATCCTTTCCTCACTAAGTATCTTGACTCCTTGTCACATATTGGTTCGCTGTAAATATGAGGATTAATTCCGGGCTCTCAGTTCTGTTTCATTGGTCTATGTGTCTATTTTTATACTAATTCTAGACTGTTTTGATTATATAGCTTAGTAATATAATCTGAAGCCAAGAAGTGTGATACCTTCAGCTTTGTTCTTCTTTCTCAGGATTGCTTTGGCTATTCATGGAAATTAATTTCATTTTTGGTGGAAAGAAAATAAGGGTTTGAAACTGAAATGTATCAGCTCTAAAATTCTTGTTAATAAAACTGCAAATTTCTGATATAGATGGTAATGATAGTTTTGCCATTGCTGCTGCTGCGGGTGGTGATGATTACATGTTGGTTTTGAAGATGGCGGATAGTCAGTAGTCCCTCAGATTCTAGAAACTGATTTAACAGTAGTCATATTCCAGTGCTTCCTACCTAAAAATAGATGTTTTCCATGACTTGCCAAGTTCTCTTCTTATTATAGACCATGACCCAAACATTAGCAGAGCTCCCGTTTGTGTTCAGAATAAGAGTGGTGGGTAGGTACTTAGCCTGTAGAACTTGCATGACTCCAAAAGTAGTTAACATATTTTTTGAAAAGGAAAGGAACAAAAAGAATGGAATATCCTAAAGAGACAGTGGCAGTACAAAGAGAAATATATTTGTCAGTTTCCAGCATGAAGCTTCAGATGACTGAGAAAACAGTCATCATCACTCATATTACTTCCATAAAAAAATGAGTTCCAGATATCTGAAAATCATTTTTTACATGCCAAAAGAATAATCAAGTTGCTAGATTCTTCCCTTCCTCACAAGCACTATAGTATCATTCAAAGAGATATCCCAGATTTTTATACTAGCTCAATTTCTAAACCTCCAGCCATCTTCAAATGAAAGGAATTGGAAAACCAGTTTGCTTTTAATGAAAGGTCTAAGATAATTGTTTTCCATTCATCTTAGATAGTGTGTAAATTCAAAGGAATTTCAAAGGAAAAATGTCCTTGAACAAATTAAATCTTGTTTTTTAATTAGGTACTTAGTTTGGGGGTAAAAATGCTTATTTTTGAAAACCAAAATCTATAAGGAAACACTGTTTAATGTTCTCAAAGAATTCAAAGAACCATATTAACAGTAATAAGCACAGCTCATAATATCATGGTCTAGAGGCATTAATTCTGCCAAGTTAGGGGATATCAGTTCTAGAATATCTGGGGTCCAGATCAGACATAAACAAAAACTTGTTCTGGGTTGCTCTTCCATTCGATACTGGATGAAACTGGGTGGCAAATCCAATTATTAGGGCTGTTCAGTCCTCACCTGACACAGCCTAGCTATCTTCTTTCACTCATTCAGCCAAACCCTATAGTTTACAGAGAGATGATGATAGAAAAAGAGCATTATCAAAATATGAGAGATAACAAGTATTGGCAAGGATGTAGAGAAAGGGGAACCCCTGTGCACTGCTGGTGGCAATGTAAACTGCTTCAGCCACCACAGAAAATAGTAGAGAGGTTCATCAAAAAATTAAAAATGAAATTACTATATGATCCAGCAATCCCACTTTGGAATCCAAAGGAATTGAAAATGAGAGCGCAGAGGGATATCTGCACTCCTGTGTTCATTGCAGCATTATTCACAATAGCCACAATATGGGAAAATTGTCCACCAATGGGCAAATGGATGAAGAAAAGTTGTTATGAATATACAGTGGACTATTATTCAGCCACAAAAAAGAAGGAAGTCCTGCCATTTGCAACAACGTGGATGAAATTTGAGGGCATTATGCTAAATGAAATAAGGCAGAAAAAAAATAACAAATACTGTGGTATCACCTTATATGTGGAATCTAAAAAAATAAAAAGTAAAACTCAAGGGAACAAAGAGTAGAAAAGTGGTTGTCAAGGGCTGAGGGGTGGCATGAAAACTTTGGCTATAAAATGAATAAGGTCCAAGGGTATAATTAATGTAAAACATGGTGACTATACTTAACACTGTTGTATGGTTGAAATTGGTTAAGGTAGTGGTGTTTGAATGTCTGACAAAAGAAAAGAAAGAAAAAAGGAAGTAAGGAAGGAAGGGAGGAAGGAAGGAAGGAAGGAAAAGGAAAGGAAGGAAGGAAAGAAGGAAAGGAGGGAGGGAAGGAAGGAAGGAAAGAAAGAAAGAAAGAAAGGAGGGAGGGAGGGAAAGAAAGGGAAGAAGGGAGAGAGAGAGAGTAAAAGAGGAAAGGAAAGAAGGAAGGGAAGAAGGAAAAGAAAAATAGATATGTGAGGTGATGGATATGTTGATTGGTCGGACTGGGGTAATCTTTTCATAATGTATGCTTGTGTCAGATCACCATAACTGTACACTTAAATTTATTTGTCAATTACATCTCAATAAAGTAGAAA